AGGTTGCACACATCTCAAAAAAATTACACTCATTAAAAATAGGCACATTTGCACAATTAATTTTTAAATTAGAGAGCTTGACCAATTTTTCTCATAAATATTATTACATTATTGTATTTATTATATAATAATTATTTTTATTTAAGAACATATTTGACATTTTACATTTAAAAAATCACTTTTTCCTTTCACCTATAGTGTATTTTATGTTTTGAGCTAAAATTGAAGAATGAGGTTAAAGGAACATGGCATGAAAGAGCAAGTTATAAATCAAATTCTTTTTGAATTCATCTATTTAATATTCATTCTATATTATCAAGTTAATTAGAAATAGTTCTTAAAAAAAAACTATTTTGTATGAAATTTGGATATTAAAACCAGAAGAAAGCCTATGAGGGGAAAGAGTTATAATAGCTTAAATACAAATCCCAAGTTAAAATTCATACAGACGTGAAAAAATTTTTTAAAATAATTACTCATAATTAGCTGATATTATTTTCAGTCATAAATATAAAATTAGTTATTATAAAATCATTTTATTTTAAAATTTTATTTTTTTCCAAAACATTCTTATTAATTGCACATAACAAGGATTTCTCATGAGAGGAATGTATGAACTGATTTATAAGTGACAATTGATGATTGATTGATAATAACTACGTATTATTTTATTTCGTCCAGCGTGGCAATCACGTCGGTAGAATTACTTTTCAATATTCTCCTATAATTTCATTTCATATTATTCTATTCATCATTATTATGCTTCCCAAACGCGTAACCCCGTTTATAAGTACATATATTCGCCCCGGCAATTCATGGTCCACGCGTGTGGCGCGCATTGGTCAATCCCTTAGCTTACGAAGCACAAAGTGCCATGCAATTACAAGCTTTAAACAATGTTATGATTGACTTGTTAAGGAATCCTATCAATGTTTATCCCATTCCCAACCACAATTTTACCTAAATCATCTTTCCTATACTTTTAGTAAGGATACCTGAAATTTTTTTTTTGGACACAATTACCTTTTTATTGGAAACAATCCTATTTGAAGTATTATTAGACATTAAATATAAGTATGTTTCTAGTAAAAATTCAAATCTTTGTACGATAAATTGTAAGTGACTAGTTTTTTCTATTAAACCCAATATTTATTAGTGATACTTTAAGAACCCAAATGCAATTTATCTTCAATGAGGACAACTCTCTCTTAATTAGGCATAATTTATCTTTGACTATGCACGAAATCAAAGAAAGAAAAATTTCACTTACTTAATTCACATCCTTTGAAAAAAAAACTTTTTAAAATAGGAACATTTTAGCTTTTTATCATTTTTTATATATAAAATTGTACCTAAGCAATATTATTTACAATTTGTAAATAATCAAGCATAATACCAGTTTCCCATCTTTACTAGGGGTGATACAATTTTTCACATTAGTGGAAAGTGTGTAAAATTATAGATGAGTAGGACTTTCATCATTTGAGTAATTGTGTTGATAAAAAACTGTTATTTCTCATCAGTGTTATATATTCCTCCGATCCTTAATATAGGACATAATTGTTGAGTTGATTTTAAATTCTAAATATAAGAGCTATTTCTTATATTATCATTTTTTCTAAATTATTCCTATAGATACCCCCTCAACAATAATTAAGTAGAAGAGAGAGAGGATATTAAAAAAATGATTATGGTGTTTTAGAAAAAATATGTTATATTTCTTATAATTAACTAACTTATATAATCTAATCAAATTAGTTAAATATGTTTTATTTTAAAAACTGAAAGAGTATTATATTTATTTATTCCAACTATTTTTCTTGGCATAGGCGATAATATGGCTGATACAGCTTTCTCCACTTATGTCCCAACACGCTGTCCTTTTCTCCCTCGCCTTTGCTTCTCCTCAACGTTCGGTAGCCTAAAAAGCATCGACTGCATAAAATAGAAGAAAATCTATAGAGAGAGAGAGAGATGTACTTTGTGTGTATGAGTGTAGTGGATAGTGAACCTTTTTAGAGAGAGAAAGGTGGGACAACGGGTCTCTCTCTAGTTTGTTAAATGTTAATTGAATAGGCTTGCCACCATCAACACTTGTCTCATGTACACTTGTCGAGACCCTTCTTCTCCTTGTTGTTGAGGGACACACTGCGTCCTGCCACCTCTGGTTAGAGAGAGAGAGTTTGTGAAGGTTTTGGGTATTCCAGATGCTTTGCGAATGGGCAAAATTCAACAGCAAAATCTGCAGCAACGGCAGAGCCATGACCCTGAGGATCCAGCTTCGTCGGGACTCCTCTGCCGGGGATGTTCGGTGGTTCTTCAAAGATTTGCAAATGAGTTCAGTTTCAAGTGCCTCTTCGTTTTGATCTTGAGTCTGTCTGCTTTGGTTTTCTGGGGTTTTCTGGGTGTACCCTAGGTTCGCGATAAAGACTCGGTATGATGCCAGTGATGCAATTAAGCAAAGTGGTGAGTTTTCCCTTCCTTCCCTCTTTAATGGCTAGGTTTTTTTTTTTTTTATTTCCCCTTACCATGTTGTGAACAAATTGGCATGATTTGGTGAATCTAGTAAATGTGAATTTCTAATTTCACATTTTGATTGACTGATTCTAATCTTCTAATTATTCTAATTGTGGTCTATTTGGTTATTTTCTTTCTTGGTCCTGATGCGCTTGATAACATCCTGAGGGTGTTATTGGTGATCTCGGGTCTGTAGTTGTCGATCGATCTCAGATTTTGTCTGTGATGCTATGAACCAAGTGCTGTAACTTTTACTTCTTTCTTTCGATCGAGGAATCCTTCTGCTTTGAGAGGTCGGGGTGCAGTTGTTAGCCAGATTATTCTATGATCATATTTCTCTATAACTTTGGATACGTAAATGAGTAAATTCAAAATGTTCCCTTGTTAGATTTTGGGGATGAGTTCTTTCAACATGATCTATACGATGACACATGCTAATCGGAGTGACAGTACTATCTTATGTCTGTGTTAGACGTCTTGTTTATGCTGCTCCTGCAGATTAGACAACTGATAGCTTCCTGACTGTGATATGTATATGGATCACCAAACATATGTCCTGAAACTTCGTATGTCTTTAAAATTATCCTTAAAACTAAGCATGTTGTTTTCTGTTCTTTGATTTAATTTATATCTAGTTAAAAAGGCTATATATGGAAGCACACATTAACTATAGTCTATAAGTAAATTTAAAAAATATATATTCAAGATAAAACTTGCGATTTTATCGTTAATAGTCAACTTATCAATTGCACCTTAGGAAGTGCTGATAGACTTATTTGCGCCACCCATACCAAAAAATAGGAGACTAAATCTAGGAAGAGAAAATTGTGGATCTCCTGCTCTGTAGAAGGTCTTTTTTGGCAGTCGTGATCTAGAGAGATTTTAGGAGGACATATAAGTTTGGCCCTTTACACATGTCAAGATGACTGACACAAGCGCGCTTAGATGACAAGAAAGGGGGAAAAGGATTGAAAAGTGAAAACAAAGGGTTACTATTTCTCTCTTTGACAGGAATTAGTTTTCTGAAATTCAGTTTTGGAAGTAAGATAGAAAATTACATAGTCATTCTTCTATTTTGTTTGATCAGATATAAATGTAGTCTATATTGAATGAAGTTATTTTGAATCTATTGTTTGCAAATGGAAGCCATAACTTAAAAATCCATTCGATTTCCTTGCTTGGAACAAATTAAGATATGATTCAATTTACTGGTTGTTGTTCAGTGACCCATGACAGCATAAGAAGATTTGAGTGAGATCAGTGACGGATATCAATTTACTAGTGACGCAACTAATGAGTTTCACTCCATGAAACCTGTATTATACACAAGAACCTCCCATTTTTCAAGTCATCTTTTTCAACCATGAAGTTTCCTGAGATTTAAAGCTGAAAAAGAAATATGATATCATTTAGACTGAAATTGATTTCCAATCTTGGTCTTCTGATATCCAGTTTTTTCTTTTTTTTCTTTTTTTTTGGTTGAAAGAAAGAAATAAACTTTTCTAATTAATGCTAATCGGTTCTGACACGACATACCTAGCTCTACACATATCAAAACTGAGAGAAAGAGCATGTACGACATAATGAAGAAAAATCTAACTTAAAAATTTCAAAGACTTATAAGATATAGAGGAGGTCGAGTACATACAACACCATATGCTAAGAGTTGCTAATGATGAGGGGTCCCTATGTTTATTGTGTTGCCATTGAATAATGCTAATTAGTCTCTGTAGTTGCCTTTGTTCTGAGGCCTGTGAGGACTAATTGGACTGGTGGTTAATGCTTATTTCAAAATATTTCAATATAATTAATGGTTTGAGGCTCTGTGTTTATCCAAATGAACGAGTACATATATTCAAAATTCAAGGCAGAGGAAATGCTATGGAGTTCCTGAGAATCTCGCAACAGAGAAAAGGAAGGAAATACATACAATCGATGACAAATTAGAAAAGGAAACAACGGAGAATTGATAGCAATAAAGAGTTGACTACTGCTGATAACTAAAGAAGGAAAGGAGCTGTCGGAGATCCTACTGCACTTATTATCAACACTCATGAAACATGAATAAATGATTATACCTGTGATGCTGATGAATGCTGCAGCTTATCTCTGCAATAACGCACAACTCAAGTCTATTGTAAATTTCTATGTTTTTGAGATTTAATTCTGCAGTTCAGATAAGAATATGATAAAGTTTTGCAGAGTATAACTTCTTGATCTTGCCAGACTGACATTTTTTTGCTATTATTTTTGCTTCTCTACCCTTTTGACATGAATCTTAGGCATTCATTGTCATTTGAACGGTCTTGCTGTGGCCTTTTCAGTCATGACGTGGCTTTCATTTTTTTACCATGTTCCAGAAGCTTGAATAACTTTGTCTTTTTACTTTTCAGATGACCATCTGAGCAGTTTTTATAATTAGTATATAATTTTATGCTGAATCTGTTAATAGTTACTGATTTAAATGAGTTATCACTTGTGGTTGAAAGTCGCTGAACATGGCAGGGACTTTTCTCTCACGTAAGCCCTTTTTATTTATCTTATTTTTAATTCCTTTAATTATTCCTATTTAGCCTAGGACTCAGTCGCACCTCTCTGTTCTGATTTTAGAGGATTAAACCTAGATTAGATTCTCCTAGATCCTTGGCTACGCTGGGCAGGTCTGTTGCCTAAGTATTTGTCTATTTAGCCTGACAAAATAATGAGGGCATAATGCTGCCGATCAGTATAGAGGCTGGACAGCTTCACTCATCAATAATTAATTTAATGAATTTGAATATTTTGTACTTAGCTGCTCACTGTTGTAAAATAGCTTCGTGGTGTTTGTTCAATAAGGATGGCTTTTGAATTACTGTGCATTTTTGGGGTGGTGACTATTGGAACTGTTATACGGGGATCCTCAAATACTACTGTTCCCGTGTATTCTTTGTTTATATACAAAAGACTATTCCCACTTGCCCGAGATTTTAAAACCAGGTTGTTGAAGTCGGAAGTAAAATAATTTATGGGCCAATCCTCTGATGGGTTGGGTGTGTACTATCTCCAACAGGAATAAACCCTTCTAAGGCAATCATGTAATGGTGAAAGCAAAGTCCTTTTTTGTTCATGTATTTTTATGCTGTGCAATGATGTGGTTTGTCCAAACACTTTTAACTCTTTTCTCCAACTCTTTCCTAAGACCTCTCCTTTATCATTTTCTAATTATACTTTTTTTATAAGTTTCTTAATGCTTTTCTTTTGTGGATTTCAGCTACTGTTCAAGCATCCTTCAAACTGGAAAAGCCAGTTTCACAGCTGATTCCGTACATTAAAAGACTAGAATATGATATATACAGTGAAATAGGTGTCCCAAATACAGAGGTTTGTCCTCAAGCTTCTCCTCTCATTTTTTTTCAGTCTTGGTTCAAATACAGAAATGACTTTTAGGCTTCTTGCTCCTAACAGGTAGCTATTTTATCCATACACAAAAGTGGTACACCTAACTTCGCAAATGTAACGTTTGGTGTTCTCTCTAAGCCACTGAATGTTCCAATAAACTCAGTGTACTTGAGTCTGCTGAGGTCATCATTGGTTGAACTGTTCCTCAAACAATCTAATCTAACTTTGACAACATCAATATTTGGGAATGCGTCTATGTTTGAGATTGCAACAGTACCTGGAGGCATATCTGTAATACCTGTGCAGCTGGGTCCTATTATTCAGATGCCTGAGATTCTGTTTAATTTTACTCTCAATAGTTCAATAAATGAAATACTGGATGGTTTTGATGACTTCAAGAATGAGCTGAGATTGGACTTGGATCTAAGATCCGATGAGGTATAGTCTTACTATCCATTTCATTCTTTATTTTGGGTAGTAGGAAATGCAATTTGGTTTTGAAAGTGCATATAGATTTCTGATTTCCTTATGATTATCAGTGGGTTGTACCACTATAGCCTTTTTATTGTTGGATATTTGTTGATATGCAATATATATTGAAATATTCATTTAAGGACGAGGCAAAACTCTAAATTAATGTAGAAAACATAGACTGGGAGATTAGTTATTGAGAAGAATTTATAATATATATTTTTTGTTGAAGACAAGGAATGCTTATATTATGAGTTGCCTGTCTTTGATCCTGTTTCTACTTTTTCATGCAGAATGTTTACGTTCAATTATCAAATGAAATTGGCTCAACAGTAGCTCCCCCAGTGACAGTGCAGGTTTCAGTCACGTCAACGTTTGGAGTAATTCCACCTCAGAGATACCTTGAATTGGCTAGAATAATATCAGGCTTCACCGAGAAAAATCTTGGCCGTGGGAACTCAAACTTTGGCAAAGTCAAAGAAGTCAGATTATCATCTTATTTTAAGGGCATGTTTCATGGAGAGGCACCATCTTCCGCCCTGCTCCATCCCCACAGCCCGTTGATGCTGCTGAACCTTCAATTTCACCATATCATTCTCCTTCTCACTTTACCAGTATCCCCAACTTCTGCTAACCGATCCCCTGTTTTGACTGTCAAGCGTCATCACCTGCGCCTTCTATTGAGACGGGGCATCCACCTGATCCTTGTCCATACAGTGGCTTCTCATATCATCCGAGATCATCCCCAAAATCTTATTCTAAACCATCCTTTAAATCTGCTGCTCCTCCTCCCTCAGATTTTGTGAACCCTACGTCTGGGATATCCCAGATCAGGCACCTATAACCCATGGCTCCAGACCTGGCCTCGGCAAAGAAAAAGCTGTGGAGCCAATAAATCGGTCACTTGCTTCCTTATCTTCATGTAAGTTCATATTCTCTAGTAGGATATTTCCTATCACTTTTATGCTTTGCTCCAATCGGCACTATGATAAGATTTACCTGATGCTCTGACATTTTAAAGATTCTTATAAATACTTTACTATTTGTTAGTCTCTAGCTGCTATCCCCGCGGCTGAACATCACGTCAGAGTGATTACTAATTTTTCTTTACTCTCATCAGTAGTGACATTATTGTATACGCATAGTCATTTATTTGCATATCCGAGATGGGGGAGACATTTTTGTTTTGAGGGTTACATTGTTTATGATGGAACGTTGCTTCTCCTTCTGATGCGCTTTCGTTCTACCAACTAGGCAACTTAAATCAAGATTTGCTTCGTCACTGGGTAATAGTGTAGAAGAATATAAAAGGAGTCTCTAGAGCTAAATTGATTTGTCCCCTAAGGACAATTATAAGTGATTTTTAATTGGTATAATGCAGATGTTAATTAAAAAGGATTCAAGAAGCCCCCTTAGACAAAAAGCTTGCATCAAACATTAAAGTAGAGGGCATTTACATGTTACATTGATTACCACTCTGTCTCTATATTAAGTCTCTTTAGACTATCATAGAAAATGTATTGAATTGATAAATTGTTTTACATTTGCCCCTATTTAAAAAAGGGTATTAAAAAAAATGTGCAACATTTTCTCTCGCCTATTTCTTTATTGCATTTGGTGCCTGTGAAGTTGCTGATGAGGGTCAGGACTAATTGGTAATGGTTAAAAAACATTATAGTATTATGAAATTCGTCTGTTCATGAATAAAATCACTCTCTCTCTCTCTCTCTCTCTCTCTTGCCGGAGTAAAAAATCATATTATTCAGGCCGTATTGCTTTGTTATCTTAAAACTTTGATTTCTAATTCTCTCAGTACAAGCACACTGTTCTTTCTCTCTTTGGTGCAGCATCAGCGTGTGGTGATTCTCTTGGGGAAATCTTGATCTTGGTATTTTACATGCTATCTGTGTACTGTCTCTTTTGTCTTTCTCCATGATATCAGAGTGTAAAAGATATGGAGAAATTGCAAATGAAGGATCTGCAAATCCCGGCAGGGAGACAACAGCGTAATGGCGCTTTGAAAGCTCCTTTTAAATCAGAAGCGGATAAAAAGGGTCAAAGCCAAAAAGCGGCAATGCAAGCGAATTAGTCGCTATATTATAGCTAGAGAGAATGGTAGATGGTAGATTTCATCTATAAAAGGTAAGTAAACTAAGTCAGTATGGGGAAATATATAACCATGTCAGAGTGGGTCTCAAAAGAAGTGATGTGCTTATATGTTTCTTCATAAGGTTTTATTGCTTGTTTTTTTTGTAAATCAAAACTAACAGCACCACTCATTAGAGCAAAGAGTGGCTTCCAGATGCGAGAAGAACCGTCTTTTGTATCCATTCAAGTGTATGATATGCCAAGTATTATGGGTTCTTTGCGCATCAGACTCTAAGTTTAACTGTCAAAACTTCTCCAGCAAATATCCAGAAAAAAGTCGTGTTCATCGCACTATACTTCTCCCTTCTTTCTATCCACAAGACATACTAGATCTATAATTTCAAGACACGCTGAAACTCAGGGCTTGGACGTAATTTTGCGATGTACAATATAAATATATGAGAAGTATGAAAACATTTTTCAAGCCAATCCCAAATTGTTTCTTTGTTGATCAACGTCAACATATTTCTAAAAACATATTTAGTATTTTTGTGGTACAGACTAATTTATCCAAAAGGAAAATGAATAATTAAAAATTTGGCAAAATGAAAATTGTCGAAGGATTTTATGAAGTGAGATGAAAACAACAATAAAAATTTGTATATATATCTTGTAGTAGATAGTAAAATGGGAAAAGAAGAAAAGCAGAAGTACAGTACAGTAAATATGTTGTGTGTGTATGCTGTGGACTGTGTATGGTGTGTATACAATTATGTACGGCATGCAGCAACTGTTATAATATTATGTGTTATGCCTAAGCTTTAGTGGCCTGAAATTTGTATTCCCTGTGTTTTGCTTCTTCAATTTCGTCGAAACTATACAATCTGCATCTTGCATTCCTCCAATCTAAGATTGCGTACTGCCTCAACTGCTGCTTCAACTTCAACACATAACGTCACGTCATAACTCATAATTAGAGAGAGATGAGGGGAATGAACCAAATCTTTTGTGAGTAATGCAGTTCCATAATTGTGCGGGCTTTTTTACCTCTACTACTATGCTATTACATGAGCGCATAAATCTACTTTTTTACTATGTAACGTTTGATCACACACAAAAACAAACTAGAGAAATTGCATAATTGCAGGACCACAATCGGGTCCTATTTTCACATGTATAAGCTTTGGCGTCGGTGAAAAAGAAATTGGAGGAGCGAGACAGGAGAGCCTCCAGCTAGAGAAAAGATGGACTTAGACGAAACTTAGCTTATTTAATTTTTCTATGTTTCTCCAATTTAGTCCTTACCTTTTTTTTTGGGGGAACACAGGGGGATAAACCCCAGCTAGATCAACACTCTACGATAGCTACCCAGGCCCAACAAATCTTCCTGTAGAATAGCCAACACCTCAGCAGGCGGACTGTTCCAAATCCTCTTTCCCATTATCTTCTAAGGGAAAGAAAACTTGACACAAAAGCTAAAACAAGGTTATAAGAAATGCAGACTTTTCCTCTCTTTTTGTTTTTGGGAAATTGGGCTTCCCACGATATTGAACTACAGTAGCAGCCTAGTAGGTTTGGTTAGTTGAAGAAATGCTGAAACCATTCTATGTAGTGTATAAATAGGAGAATGTTACCTTCTTGTTGCAGCCATATGAATGAAAACAAGTTTAACGCATGAGATCAGATGATATCAGACTATAACATGAACAATGAGCGCCACCACGGGCCACCTGCATAATTCTCACAAACCTTTTTGTTAAGCTCTTTCTAAAGCCTACCAACCCATTGCTTTAACACATTTCTGGGACTAAATGTAGATATAAAATCACACTTTAGTACCCTGAAATTATGAATTATCAATTGTAAACTTTGGTCATTTAGTGACATTTCAGAAAAATGTTAATTACCCAAAATGCCCCTATTCACATACCTACCTATCTATTCATCTCTAAAAAGTGTGTTCAAAATATTGAAAACTCAGTGGAATGATTTTTATTTTTCATATTTGTTTTTTTCTATATTTATCAACTTTTATATTTATGCATTTGTTCACGGGAGAATCCTACAAAAAGAAGTTTGAAATTAATAAATTTCAATCAGGTTCGGTAAAAACATTTTAATATGTTTTGACAATACGTGATTGCAAATATTACACATTTTTATAGAAATTTCTTAACTTTATCACTTGCAAGATTTTTTAGTTGGAAAACATATTGTGTCTTTCACAGACACCAATAGTCCAAAGCACTATGCACATTATTAAGAATTAATATCACTATATTATTAATTATTTTTTTGGCAAAACAATATACTTTTATGATCCTAGATATTATATGTTAGAGAGAGAATTTTTACATCTATTTATAAATAACATCATCAAATTTTCATTTAAAATATATTATTTTGCATTTATGTATTGATATATAAAATTGTTCTTTCATTAAAATTTGTATATATTAAATGTGAGTAAGAGTTGAAAAGTTATTAAATTTCAGAATAGAATTAATAAAATTAAAAAAAAAAATTTGGTGAAATTTAAAATTTTTTTTAGTTCCATCAAAACAAGTGGTAAATGAATTATAAAAAGTTCAGTAGAATAAAAGTTCAGTATCACTGATATGTTGGCGTATTTGGTGCTTCAAAGGTTTATAACAGAAGCTTACCTCCTCGATCATGATTTTCCGGGAAATCAAACAAAAATCTCTCAGCCCATTCTACAATTGCACGCACAGGTCGGAACGAAACAAGCTGGCTCCAAATCCAATTCAAACCTTCTGCAGCATCTTCAAACCTAAATCCATATCGATAGTCGAAATGTGAGAAATCTCGACGGAAATTTGAATATGAGAAGAAGATGAAGAAGCACTTCGCAGCTCATGGCGGCAGATAGGGCACGTATTGTGAATGCGAAGCCAAGGAGTAATACAATCGAATGATAGAAATGCTTGCACGGTAACTCCTTCACTCCATATCAATCTGAAACTCGTCTTTGCAAATCGCGCAATTCGGATCGGTCGCCAATTGTGTTTCCGTCACTTTCACCGTCGGCAACCCTTCGATGGCGGAGTCTGCTGCCGGAGGCGGCCTGTTTTCTTCGGTGGCTCCGGGAAGGTGTAGTTGTGGACGAGTTGGTCTCACGAATCGGAGAGTCATCCAGGTCTGAGAATTCGGGTCTTCTTCGGTTTCTTCAGTCCATCGAATTGTTCGATCGAATCGAGTGTTTCTCTCTCTCATGGATGGATCCAGAATGAAAGCCAATCCGTTGATCAATTGAGCAGCAGGTGAAGGCTGTAAATTAGGAGGATTATTCATGAGAAGCCTGGGCCTCTCGTGATATCGAGTTCGAGGTGTAATTGACGGGAGCAAAAGGGCAGAAGAGGAAATTAGGGTTTGCAGAGGAGGGGATTCTGACAGCACGCTGGCAAGTTTGGCACCAGAAATAGTGGAAAGTTCTGGTTCTTTGAGCACCATTGGACGACAACGCGAAGACGATCACCACTCATATCCATAGATTAATTGCAATTATAATATTATTGTCGAGCTTCTTTGAGGGTGCAGAGATTTTGAGTGTTGAGGAAGAAGACGGGAGTATTTATAATGATCATACTGCAAATTGATTGACGAGGGCTTCAGGCGAAGAAGAAAGCGGAGGTTGAAGAGGAGATGAAAGGGATGGCTTTGGGGCCAAAAGGAAGTGATTTTTTTTCCATTACTGTTGGGGTGTTTCAAGCTTCATGAACATACATGGTACGTAAAGTTCTTGAAAGACAGTTCGAAGTTATTGAAGTGATTTGGGTTTCTTCCAGGAATTGAGCATGCATGCCATGAGAAGATATCACGTGTGATCATATTCGTACGTAGCTGGGAAGCTTCTTTCCCACCTAAACATGCATATTCACGTAAGTTTGAGAATAAAATTCTCATTGAAAAGTCGTTTTTAAAAAACTTATTTATCATTTTAAACAAGCACTAAATGCAAAAACATGTGTTTAAGAGAACTACTTCCAAATTCTAAGTAGGCCCAACTCTACTTAAATCAAACATAGTCAAATAATCATCATATATATGTATATATAAGAATACATAAAAATTAAAATTAATCAAATCATAAATCAAGGTATTGAATAGATTGGTAAATGAATAAGCAGAGACAGTGGTTCAAATCAGAATCAAATGGATCATAATTAAAATAATTTCTAAATAAAATGGATATTAATTTACAAGTAAATAAAATATTCATATACTCCTTCGGTCCTAAATATAAAGCCCTTATATAAGGGCCTTATATTTAGGACTGGGGAGTACAAACTACAAATGAAGTAAAAAGTATAAAATAGATAGACTATAATTTTTTTCCTTTTCCTTTTAAACTAAAACCAATGTAGTTTTAGGCTCCAATAAGGAAATATATATATATATATATATATATTTATATATCCAATCAATCCGTATAAAACTCTTGACTAGATTGATTAAGAGATTAATTGGTTCATTGGTTTGATTCATTGTCCCGAGTTGGATTTTAATACTATGCTATAATAAATCAATATGAATACCAAACATAAAAAATTTAATAAAATATTCATAATTCATAAATCATCCTCATCAAACTATATATTGTCTAAATAACTTATAAAATTTCATACAGATATACTTTTATTAATTAACTAACTAACAATATGATTTTCTGTCAATAGAGTTAGGTCTAGCGGAAAGAATTAATCTATCATAATATAATGAACTAATATTCGAATTCCTGTTAGTAAAGGTACCTACATTTATACCTAATAGTAATTAGAACAAAAAGATTATTTTCATTAAGAGGATACTTGTAATGAGGGAAAAAACACACACACAATATGACTTTCCTTGTCCTTTATAATTTATCATCTGCTATTAGCGGGCACTGGCCAAATCAGATTGATCCATCAAACCAACCTTAGAATGACCTAGCTAGGAACACTAGGATTTGACAGGTTTTTTTTGGTGTTAGGTCCTAGTAGTAAACTAGGGAGAATTATAATGATGATGTTTAAAAAAAAATTATATAACAAATCCTAAAAGTTGTCATTTTCTATTTGAAACTTGTCATTATAAGCTGTTTAGGTTGTTACTGGGACTTTCTTAGTATTTTTCTCTATTAGGACCTCATTGTATCTCCCAATAAACTAGCTATTATAGAACGTCATTTACAAGATAATTTAACAGTTTCTAGTGAAATGAAAATAAATAGGAACAATATAGAGAACATAATTGAATAAAGCTTAGTTAAAGCCAAAAAGAACACCATTGAAGAAGAAGCAAGCAGAAGAAAGGAATAAAAGTACAAAGGGAATATTTGTGCATGTAAAGTTTTACATCATAATTTTATCATAACTAATTAAATTAAAAGGTAATGTGCCATCTTATCATTAACTAATTTTTCATTAAATTAGGAATATGAGATATAACAATTAGACTTAGGAGTTTCAACACCAGCTTGTCCCCATCAGCCTGTTCTGGTCCTGGCCTTTGGGATGGGACGGGCCTGTTCCGAATTTTTCGAAACAGGACAGATGAGATGGGATGGAATGGGATAGGACATGGGAGGGGGTCGTCCCGTCCCAGTCCCTTTATTTTTTTTTAAATTTTTTATCATATTTATATAAGGGGAATTACAATCAAGTTCCACATAAGAGAAATAATTACTAAAAAAATCCCAATAATAACCTCAACAGCCTATAATGACATGTCCTATAGTAAGAATGACAACCCTCTGGGACTTGTTTTTCAATTATTTTCCTTACTTGGGACCTCATTGTAATTCTTCGTTTATATAATATCATTTTTTAATTTTTTTTTAAGATCTGAAACTATTGTATGGAACTATGGACCCATTTATTTAGAACTTCTATATTTGTTGATGATTTGAGACTATTGATTATTAAAATTTTCAACAAGTTTTTATTGTGTTCAAAGCTTTTATTAGAGTTTTTAATGACTATTATATGTAATATTTTGGGCTTTTGTTTAATGGTGTCCAAAGAAATAAAATAGAAAACAAAAAGATACTTTTACAAGAGCTAAACCCAAAAAACTGCAATTAGAAAAAAAAAATCAAATTTTATTGCACCCAACAACTCAAAAAAATAAAAATAAATAAATCGAAACGTCCCGACCCTGTCCTGACCAGGACAAGGGACAAAAAAGTTATCCGGTTACTGTTTATCGGGATGAAACTGTCTCAATTCTGATCTATCCCATGAACAGTCCTAATTAGACTAAATTTTATATTGCCTATAGAAACTTCAGATTGCATGCGGATAAGCTCTCTTGACATTTAAAATATAAATAAACATGAGAGATAAAGTGGATTAAGGTCTTATATTTAGGACCAATAAGAACCAGGAGGTAATAGAATCTATGAGGGCATATACTGTTGTAAAATTGCTATGGTTCATGATAGGGGGAGTTTGACAACTATTAGAATCACTTGAAATTTTTTTTTCGCGCCACATATTCACGTTTAAGGTGTGTTTGGATAGAAACCAAACCATAGTTTCAGAAGTGCTTTTACGGATTACGAAGTAAATATGTAGAGGAGATTATCTCATTTTGCGGAAAAGTGCTTCTGAAACCACGGTTTTGGGATACCCAAACAGACCCTTAGTAGTATATCATAAAAATCACTTTTGAAAAACTAATTTCGAGTCTTGATTCAATTAGTCAGTTTAAACTGGTTCACCAATCATGATGACTCAATTTTCCAGAATGATTTAGCTCATAAGAATGGATTGAAAGATTCATTTGTCGATGATTGGCTCGGTCGATCCCATCCAAGAAATCATGCATTGGAGTCACTAATTAATAAAATTAATGATTTTAACTAATTTATTTAAATAATCAATAAATCAGTAAATAAGACAACAAGAAATTAAGCTTCTCTACTTAAACTCTTTTTTTATTTAAAATACTACGTCAGTTCTTATTTTTTTTAAAAGTTTTTTTACTTAAAATAAATCAAGTTATGTAATTCTTTAACTTCTTTGGTCAAAATGTAATTCTTTAACTCAACAAATTAAAATGGGAGAATTGTAATAGAGTTCTATGAAAAAAAACTATCAAAAAGCCTCAATAACAAATTAAGGAGTTGTCATTTTTTACTTTAAAATTTTATTATTGCAAGCTGCTAAGCTATCATTAACATTTTACAGTAAGTATTTTGCTTTTTTCATTAAAATTTATATATTTTTTCTGTTCATTTCAATTCATTAACCTCCGGTACGATTTCGACGAGGCTAACCGAGTCCTCAGGTTTTAGGTCGGCCGAGTCAACTCGCCTGGTTACTCCATACGGGAAAGGCTTTCGGATTGGGTTGTCGCCTAGTCGGCTGTCTTCCACTCCATCAAAATCCCTCTCACCCAACACTCTTTCCTTCTCTTTGGATTTTCTCTCTCTAAATTCTTCGTCTTTAGAGAGGGATAACTCGATTCCATCAAGGCCTCTTCGCCGATGAAAATTTTCTGAGAAAATCCTACTCCAATTTTCCGTCAATCCAAACGGATAAGCCCTCCCAAATGTCACTTGCGGTGTTCCAAACGGCTCAAATCATGCCCATGAACTCTCACGCCGCCACAAAGGCCTTGCCGCCGAATCCCTCGTTGCCGACCCCGAAACACGGTTCTCTCCAGCTAGTTATAAAGCCCGCCGGCTTCAAGCTTAGGCGACGATTTTTGGTGGTCAAAGCCTCGGCTACCTCTGAGGTGGAGAATGGTTCGGCGGCTTTATTGGAACGTTGCTTTAGCTTGCCAGATGCTCCCGGTACTTCCGATTCTTCGCTGCCTTCATCCTCTTCAATGAATTTGGGTCCCGTAATGAAGGGAAAATACAGTTCGCTTGGTGCCGTGACATTAGAAAAATCCAAACTCGATTTGTCGCAGAAGCAAACCAAGTCTAGTCCTCAGGTTAGTGTCCAAACGTTGAGTTGAAGACTTCGGGTTAATACCCTGTGGTTATTTTTTTGACAATTTTTATGAGAATGTAAGGGAGTGGAAGAATGAATGGTCAATTAGCTGTTTCTGCTCTATACAATGGTCAGTAGAATGAGGACCATGCCTTTGCACACCTTGACCGTCTGACAGTGGCAAAAATATTTTTGTTTCTTAGGGTGCCTCCCCTTTTCTTTGTGGGGTTTTTTTTTTGGGGGGGGGGGGTTGGGGGGAAGAGCAGCGACGGTGAACATCGTAGATACAAATAGAAATTGAATGCTGAAACGAAGCAATACTTGCGTTCAACTGCTAACTAGTGTCCCTTATTACATTTCTACACTGCTGACAACGAAGGTTAAATAAGTTATGGTTGCTTGCCGACCATGTATGCGATACTTAAATCTCCAATTTAGGGACTAGTTCTGGTTATCATCTTAATTTTTGAATAGGTGTGATTATTCAAGTTAACCTTTTTTTTAAAAAAAAAAAAATTTCTCGATAAA